AGACGCAGCGCAGCAGCAGCTACTGCGGTGAGGCCCCGACCCCTCTCCTGGTTGCATGCAGCATCAGACAGCAGCAGCAAAGCTTTTTCTAGAGCAGCCCTAGAACCTGGCTGCAGCGCTGCAGGTGCTGCTGCAGCTGCTGCTGCTGCTGCTCTGTCAATTGTTGCTGCTAGCTGCAGCAGCAGCGGCTCGTGTGTAGCGCGGGCCTGCCGCAGCAAATGCAAGGTTTGCGCTGCTGCTGCTGCTGCTGCTGCTGCTGCTGATGCGTTGCTGGGCTGCTCTGTAGATGCCAGCAAGCCAAAGCCCTCAGCTAGAGAAGGCAGCAGCGCCTGTACAGAAAACCCGAGAGCAGCAGCAGCAGCAGCAGCAGCAGCAGCAGCTCCATGCCTTGTGCTGGCAGCAGCAGTCATGCAAGAGCTGTTGCGCAGCAACAGCAGCGCAGCAGCAGCAAACACATGCTCATGACTCAAAGAAATACCTGAAACAAATCTCGCTGGAGCCGCGCCTCTTCCTCTATTGCTGAGAATTGCTGCTGCTGCTGCTGCTGCTGCTGCTGCTGCTGCAGCGACTGCCAATGCAGTGCGTCAAATGCGCCAAGACGATTTGCTGCTGTCAGAAGCAGCAGCAGCAGCGACAGCCGGTGCCCCACACTAGCAGCTGCTGTCCTCTTGCTGCAGCAGCCACAAAACAGCAGCACCAAAAGCAAAGCAAGGCTGGCGCAGCACTGCCATCTATTGCAGCCGCTGCAGCAGCAGCAGCTGCTGCAGCCAGACGCAGCAGCAACTTATGCAACGCCAGCTGCTGCTACGTTTGCTGCTTACTTTGGTGCTGCAGCACGCACCGCCGACAGCAGGCCTCGCAGCAGCTGCATGCGAATGGAAGCTAGCTCAGTGTCTAGTTGTTGGATGCCCTGCTGCTGCTGCTGCTGCTGCTGCTGCTGCTGTTGATGCTCTGTTTCTGCTGCCAGGAGCTCCGCAGCTAGCCACAGCAGCACAACCTTGTTGCTAAGCGACTTCCTGAAGCCCCCAGTCGTTTTTGCTGCTGCTGCTGCTGCTGCTGCTGCAGGCGGCTCTGCAGACGCAGCTTCCGTCGCCGTCTTGCCTGCTGCTTCTGCTGCAGCAGGTGCAGCAGCAGCAGCAGCAGCAGCAGCAAAGCCAGTGCCGCTGATGAGGCTGGCTGCTGCAGCAATTCGAGGAGCTGACTTGCTCTCCCACAGCCGCAGCGCTCGCTGCAGCTTTAGCCAGGCAGCAGCAGCAGCAGCCTCCTCTGGCTTCCCTGTTGCTGCTGCAGCTAAAGCTGTTGCAGCAGAAGCTGCTGCAGCTGCTCCTTCGGCAGCTTCCACGCGCTGCTGCAGCAAGCCTGTGCTGCTGCTAGACGCAGCAGCACCCGACCACTGCAGCAAATCTGCTGCTGCCAATGGAGCTGCCTGCTGCAGCAACGCATGCGTTGCTGCTGTCCACAGCGTTTTCACTTGCGCAGAAGCAGCAGCAGAAGCAGCAGCACAAGCAGCAGCAGCAGCACCGGGCGGCATGAAATCACCGCTCGTGTCTGCTTCTTTCGGACAAGAAACAGCAGCAGCAGCAGCAGCAGCTGCTGCTGCTGCTGCTGCTGCTTCGGCGCCAGCGGGACTCCGCGCCAGCGCCTCAATGGCAGCAGCTAAGGAGCTGCGCGCTGCATCAATGTCTTCCAAGGGGCGGGCCAGTGCTGAAGTTCCTGCTGCTGCTGCTGCTGCTGCTGCTGCTGCTGCAACGGGCCGAAGCTTCTCTAAAGCAGCAGACAGCTTACCCAGTGGTCCCGCAGCAGCAGCTGCTGCTGCAGTGGACGGTAGATGCATTCTGCTGCAGCAAGTTTGCAGCAACGCTGCAGCAGCAGCCAGCGTCTCCTGCGCCTTGTCAGCTGCTGCTGCAGCAGCAGCTGCAGCAGGCCTCGCTGCAGCCACTGCAGCAGCTGCTGGCAAAGCCACATTTGCTGCTTCCTGCGCTAAAGACACGGCAGGGCCCTGAGGCAGCAAATGGAGACAGCGCTGCACTGAGTGCAGCAGCTTTGCTGCAGCAGCAAAAATGCTGCTGCTTTCGGGAGACAAAAGCGCGGACTCTGGTGCTGCAGCAGCGCTGCTCTGCTGCTGCAGCAGCTGCTGCAGCGCACGGAGCAGCGCCGCTGCCAAGCTAGCCCGCCCCACAGCCTGCTGCTGCTCCATTTGCTGCGTTTGCTGCTGCCTTTGTGAGGCGCTGCTGCACAGTTGCAGCAGCAGCTGCCGTGCTGCTGCTGTCGCTGCTGCTCCCTCCTGCTGCGGCAGCAAATGTTTGAGACGCAGCAGCGCAGCAGCAGCAGCAGCCAGTGCTGCAGGAGACGCCCCATCTGCTTTGCATGCAGCAGCGGCTGTCAGCGCTGAATGTGAGGAGTTGCTCGCAGCAGCAGCAGCAGCAGCAGCAGCAGCAGCAGCAGATTCCGAGACATCAGGGAATTTATCTGCAGCTCTGAAGTCCTGTAGTATCCGAGAAACTGCCGGCTGCAGCAGCTCTGCTGCATGCTCAGCTTTGCGCTGCTGCTGCTGCTGCTGCTGCTGCAACAAGTCCCCTGCAGCAGCTGCAGCACGAGTTGCTGTCTTCAGGTCCAGCAAAGCCCAGAGCGTCTGCTGCTGGCCCAGCTGCTGCTGCTCTTGGCTGACAGCAGCAAGGTCCTGCAGCAGCCGCTGCAGCAGCACAGCTGAAGGCCTTACATTCGCTTCTTCATGGGTGCTGCTGCTGGAACTGCTGCTGCTGCTGCTGCTGCTGCTGCTGCTGCTGCTTGCGGAGAAGCTGCTGCTGCTGTTGCGCCAAGCTTCCGCTGCTTCGAGCGCCGCCGCAGCAGCAGCTTCACGCTCATCAGGCTGCAGGCGGCTCAAGGCCAGCAGCAGATCTGCTGCTGCTGCTGCTCTTTCACTTTCGGGGAGCAGCAGCAAATCAGACGCAACAGCAGCAAACAGCACTCCAGCCCGCTGCAGCCCCAAGCGCCGTCTCCACCGGAGCAGCAGCAGGAGCTGCTGCCTCGCTGCATGCATGCGCGACATTGCAGCAGGAGCAGCAGCTGGCTGCGTCATCTTCTGCTGCTGCTGCTGCTGCTGCTGCTGCTGCTGATTCTGGTCTGTGTTCTGCTGCCCGGAGAATGCTTGGCGTTCCAGCGTGTGCAGCAGCAGCTGCTGCAGCCCCAGAGCCTCAACAAGTGGCAGCAGCTGCTGCTGCAGCGCCGCGCCGGCCCTCTGCCAGTTTTCATTAATCCAAGCCCCAAGAGCAGCAGCAAATGCATGCAGCTCTTTTTCTGCTGCTGTGTCTGCCTCTGCTGCTGCTGCTGCTGCTGCACGGGGCCGCAAACCTGCACGGCGACGTGAAGAGCTCCGCGCCTTGGTTTGCTGCTCTTGCTGCTGCTGCTGCTGCTGCAGCAGCTGCGAAGGCACCTGCAGCTGCTGCACCAAACGGTTTGCCTCTGACAGCAGCAGCAAAAGAGTATCTGTGGCTGTGTGCGGCAGCAACTGCAGCAAATGCCGTATAAGCTTCAACGCAGAGATGCGTGGAGCCTTTGCTGCTGCTGCTGCTGCTGCTGCTGCCGCAGCGTCAAGAGCTGGCTCTGCTGCTGTTGCTGCCCCGTCTGCTTCTGCCGAATCTAGCTCTGCAGGTCCTGCTGTTCCTTCTGCTGCTTCTGCTGCTGCTGCTGCTGCTGCTGCATGCAAGTTTACCCGCTGCAGCGCTTCAAGCCGCCTTGCTGCTACCAGAGCCAGCAGCGCAGTCTTTGCGAGCTGCTGCCTCTGGGGTGTATAGGCAGCAACAGCAGCAGCAGCAGCAGCTGGTGCTGCTGTTGCTGCGTCTTGTTTGTGGCTGTCACGAGCAGCACTTGCTGGAGAGGCAGCAGCTGCTGCAGCAGCTAGCTGCCTGAGGGTCACAGCTTTTAGCTGCTCTGCAGCACGCAGCAGCACCCGCTGCGTTGCTGCTGCTGCAAAGGCCTCAGCACTGTGGGGCGGATGCAGACTTGCTGTTTGCTGCAGTGCAGCAGCAGCAAGCACCACGGAGTGCAGCAGCCGAGCAGCGATCCGGTTCGGGAGACCTCGCTGCTTGTGTTGCTGCTGCTGCTGCTGCTGCTGCTGCGCGGGCTGCTGCTGCCGTTGCTGCTGTCCTTGCGGCTCCTGGGGAACACTCTCTTGCTGCTGCTGCTGCTGCTGCTGGTCCTGCTGCTCGGGAGCGGTCGCTTCCAGTGCTGCAGCAGCAGCAGCAGCCAGCTCGCCGCACAGACCTTCGAACCAGGCAGTTTTCACAGCAGCAGCAGCGTCAGCAGCAACAGAAGCACCAGCTTCCAGCCCCTCTGCAGTAGGAGCAGCAGCAGCAGCAGCAGCAGCAGCAGCAGCAGCCCCCGGCTGCACGTACAGCTCAGTCAAGCGCGCAAGCAGCTGCCACACCAAATCCAGCAACTCAGCAGCTACACGCTGCTGCTGCTGCTGCTGCTGCTGCTGCTGCTGCTGCTGCCTCTTAACTTGCTGCACTGCATCTGCCTCGTCATCCCTCACGCGTCTCAAGGCTGTTCCTATAACGTCAAGCAGCAATAGTGTCTGTTCCGGAGGCTGCAGCAGCAGTTGCTGTTGCTGCTGCTGCTGTTGCTGCTGCAGCAGCAGCGGCGCCAGCTGCGTGAAGGCCACCAGCAGCAAAGAAAGACACCTTGATCCCTCTCTTCGGACAAGGCGCTGCTGTTGCAGCTGCTGTGCTGCAGCAGCTACGAAATCTGCTGCTGCGCTCTCAGCAGCAGCAGCATCACAGGCTAACTGCTGCGGCTCCTGGCGTAGCACCAGCTGCTGCTGCTGCTGCTGCTGCAGCACTGCAGCGCCCCATAAGGCAGCAGCAATACACTGCGTGTTGGAGACGGGCAAAAGCTGCTGCATTCGCCTCAGAAGGGCCGGCAGCAGCTTTTGCTGCATTACCTGTTGCAGCAGCAGCAGCTGCTGCTGCTGCTGCTGTTGCAGCTGGCCAGATGCAGCAGCAGCAGGCCGCAGCAGCAACCACCGCAGCTTGGCCAAAGCCAACAGCGCAGCAGATGCTTCTGCTGCCTGCAGCTGCTGCACCTGCGCTGCGAGGGCGCAGCAAAGAGAAGCAGCAAATCGCGGGTCTCCCATTGCTGCTCTTAGGCTGTCCTCTGCAGCAGCAGCAGCAGCAGCAGCACTTTCTTCTTGCTGCTGCTCGGCCGCATTGTCCTTCACTGCTGCTTCTGCTGCTGCTGCTGCTGCGTGGTCGCCCTGGTCTTCAACTAGTGCAGCAAGCACCCGCAGTGCAGCAGCAAGCTGCTGCGGCATTAGCTGCTGCTCCTCGAAGAGCTGCTGCAGCCGCAGCACCAGACCCCTTTGGAGACGGCTCCGTAGCGAAAGAAGCTTCTGCTGCTGCTGCTGCTGCTGCCGCGGCAGCAGCTTCAGCTGCTGCAGCAGCAGAGGCAGAGGCCGCAGCAAACCGAGCCGCTGCAGCGCCCATAGAATACGAGTTGTGCTGCCGTCGCTTGTGGGGAGGTAAGCAGCAGCAGCATCCAGCAGCAGCAGCATTCTCTCGTCAACAAGTAACTGGATCTGCTGCTGCTGCTGCTGCTGCTGCTGCTGCTGCTGCTGCGGCTTCACGCGAAGCGCCACGTGGTGCAGCGCGGCCGTTATGTTTGCGGGCTCCAGGTGGCACATCTCCGTTGCTGTTGCTGCTGCAGCAGCTGACTCAGCAGCAGCAGCAGCAGCAGCTTCCGGTCCCTTCCCGCCCTGCTGTGCTTCACTCAGTTTGCAAGTGCTGCTTCCCTGCTGCTGCTGCTGCTGCTCTTTAAGTCGTGCTGCTGCTGCTGCTACAGCCTGCAGCACGTCCTCTACAGACTCGGCAGCAACAATAGCTCGATGCAGCTCTTTGTTGAGCTGCAGCACGGCAGCAGCACCAGTTTTGCTTCTGCTGCCTGCTGCACTTGCTGCTCGCAGCTGTGCAGCAGCAGCAGCTGCTGCTGTGGGGTCCCTGCTGTACTTCAGCAGCAGCAAAGGCGCAGCAGCAGTTACGCACTCTGGGGAGGCTACGCCGCTTTGCTGCAGCACGGCGGCAAGCGCAGCAGCCTCTGCGGCTGCTTCTGCTGCTGCTGGCTGCGATTGTGCTGCTGCTGCACCGCCTGCTGCTGCAGCAGCAGCAGCAGCCTCTAAGCGCGGTTCTGCTGCTGCTTGGGCAGAGCCTCCTGGCATCTCTTGCAGCAAAGCCTCCGCAGCCGCAGCAAGACCTGCAGCAACGGCTTGCCACTCCTTTGCTGCAGAAGCAGCAGCAGCATCTGCTGCAGCAGGAGCAACAGCAAGGTCTTCAGCAGCAGCAGACGCAGCAGCAGCAGGGTCAGCAGCAGCAGAGTCAGAGAACAGGCAGCCGCAGCGTGCATGCAAAACGTGCATGTGCAGCAGCAGCTGCAGCGCGACGTCTGCTTTGTTTATGTTTTGCTGCTGCAGCTGCTGCTGCACAGCATCACGGCAGCTAGCAGCAAACATCGCAGCAGCTTCCTGCAGGGAAAGCGGCGCAGTACGTGCTGCTGCTGCTGTTCCTGCTGCTGCGTCGCCGGTGCCCGCGTGCTGCTGCCGCTGCTGCTGCTGCTGCTGCTGCTGCTGCTGCTGGGCGAGAAACGAGTTCACAGCAGCAAGCAACTGTGGCATTTCCTCAGGCTGCAGCAGCTTCACATTTGCTGCAGCTGACAGCAAGAGCATCTGCAGCTCATCAGGCGACAGCACGCAGTGCTGCTGCTGCTGCTGCTGCTGCTGCTGCCGCTGCTGTTCCTGCTGCTGCTGCTGCTCCCGTTGCTGTTGCAGCAGCCGCGCAATCGCAAACAAGCACTTCGATATTGCAAGAAAAGTATCTCTCCTGCTTCTCTGCCGGCCGTGCTGCTGCTGCTGCTGCTGCTGCTGCTGCTGCTGCTGTGAACTGAGAGCTAGGCAGTTGCAGACATAGTTGCTGAGGCCCTGCGGATGACAGCACGCAGCAGCAGCAGCAAAACCCGCAGTAGCAGCAGGAGCGCAGCAGCTGGCAGCAGCAGGCACCAAGCTGCTGCTGCAGCAGAACAGGCAGCAGCAACATACCTTAGTCAGTGAGGTGTACGTACACCCCAGCCGCATGCGTGCAGCACAGCGGCCAATTGTTACAGCATGTTGCGGCTCTAGCTTCTCAGAGTCCGTCGCTGCTGCTGCTGCTGCTGCTGCTGCTGCTGCGGTTCCTGTTGCTGCTGCTGCGTCGCTTGCTGCTGCTGCTGCTGCTGCTGCATCTGCTGCCATGTTCAGCCGCTGCGTTGTGTCTGCGACCAGCTGCTGCAGCAGAGGAGCTTGCTGCTGCAGCGCGGGCATCTCCTCTGTGGCCCTCCATAGAGAAACTGCAGCAGCAGCAGCAGCAGCAGCAGCAACAGCACATACAGCTCAGACCAGCGGCGATGAGGGTTTGGGGTTTAGGGTTTAGGGTTTGGCATTTAAAAACAAGGGTTTAGAGACGTCTCCGGCGTGGCTTTCTGTCAACTGTGAAGGCGAAGAGTAAACTCAAAACCCTAAACCCTAAACCCTAAACCCTAAACCCTAAACCCTAATCCCCAAACCTTAAACCCTAGTCAAGAAAACCTGCGTCTTGAGTTGTAACCATTCCGAAGGTTTAGGATCGAAACTCACCCAAACTGGAGGCTGAAAGGCCCCACTTGCTGCTGCTGCTGCTGCTGCTGCTGCTGCTGCTGCTGCTGCTGCTCGCAGCCACCAAGCGAGACACAAGCGCCTGCAGCAACGGCTGCTGCGGCAGCAAACGCAGCCGGCTTAAACTCCTGAGGGCCCCAACAGCAGCAAAAGGCTTCAGCGAGGCTCCCTGCTGCTCCAGCGCCAGCAGCAAGTCCTGCAGCAGCAGCAGCAGCAGCAGCAGCAACAACAGCAGCAGCAACAGCAGCAGCAGCAAGCGCATTTAGCAGGCTATACGTAGAGTCAGGGAGAAGCAGAGCTCTACGCTGCCCTTTCTCCTCGTGCTGCTGTTGCCCCAAGGACAGTGCTGCTGCGATTGCTGCTGCTGCTGCTGCTGCTGCTGCTGCTGCTGCAGGGCTCCTTACCTTGACTATTGGAAAGCGGGCTACCTGGGAATGGCCCTTGGGGGGTTTAGCTTTGCCTCTGCTGCTGCTGCCTGCAGCAGCAGCAAGAGCAGCAAGCTGCTGCAGCGCTCGCAGCAGCACCTGCGCTCGCTGCTGCTGCAGCGGCTTCTCAGCAGCAAGACGGTGCAGCAGCTGCAGCAAATCGTCAAGGCTGCTGCAGCGCGATATTGCTGCCAATGCATCTGAGCTGTTTGCATCCCATTCGCCTTGCTGCTGCTGCTGCTGCTGCTGCTGTCGCTGGCGCCGCTGCTGCTGCTGCTGCTGCTGCTGCTGCTTGGCGTAGAGCGACCGGGACAGGTGCTGGTTCTGCCTCCAGGAGCCTCTGTACTGTTTCTGCTGCTGCTGCTGCTCCTGCTGCTGCTGCTGCTGCTGCTGCTGCTGCTGCAGCTCATGCTCATAAGAACTCCAGAAATGCGCAGGAGATTCTTCAGATCTGACAGAGACGAAGCCGTCGTCGCCTTCCAGGTGCAGCAGCTGCTGCTGCTGCTGCTCTTGCTCTTGCTGCTGCTGTTGTTGCTGCTGCTGTTGCTGCTGCTGCTGCTGCTGCTGCTGGTCTGTCCAAAAGTCCTCGGGCTGCAGCGCCGACGCTGCGAAGCTTCTGATGAGCCCTTGAGACGCAAAGCATTTGCTGCTGCTGCTGCAGATGCTGCTGCTGCTGCTGCTGCTGCGGTCGTGTCCTGTGGTTGCTGAGGCAGCAGCAGCTACAGCAGCAGAAGCTGCTGCTGCTGCCCCGCATTTGCTTGCGATTCCCTCACGGTGGCGCTGCAGCGGCAGCTGCTGCTGCAGCAGCAGCAGCTGCTGCTGCTGCTCAAAGTGAGTTGAAAGCAATGAATTTGCTGCTGCTGCTTGTAACTGAGGTGTACATACACCTCTGCGGAACCCCTGCACTGCAGGCGGACTGAGCAGCAGCAGCAGCAGCAGCAGCAGCAGCAGACTGCTTGCAGCGAGGCGGCTGCATCTGCTGCTCCTGCTGCAGCTGCTCACAGAAGCAGGCAACTCATTTTGCTGCGGGGTAGAAATGCAGCAGCAGCAGCAGCAGCAGCAGCAGCAGCAGCAGAGGCGGCTGCTGCGTCGATACATAGGGCAGCGGCTGCTGGTACGAGCAGCTGCTGCTTCCTGCTAACAACTGGCAGCAGCAGCAGCTGCTGCTGCTGCAGCTGCAGTTGCTGCTGCTGCTGCTGCTTCTGTTACGGCAGCAGCTCTTGCTGCTGAGACATTCCGAGTTGAGCTGCAGCCCTTTGCTGCTGCTGCTGCTGCTGCTGCTTACATGCCTTGCAGCAGGGCAACGCAGGTTGCTGCTTGTGCTGCTGCTGCAGGTTGTGCTGCTGCTGCAGCTTTTGCTGCTGCAGTTGCCGCTGCCGCTGCTGCTGCTGTGCCTTACAGCAGGTGAAAGCGCCAGGCCAGTTTCAATGCCAAGTCCTTAACCCTAAACCCTAGACCCTAAACCCTAAACCCTAAACCCTAAACATCAAACTCTAAACACTAAATACTAAGCATTAAACCCTAAAGCGGAAACCCTAAACACTAAGCCCTAGTGTGTGGCGGGCGGGGCCCCCTGGGCCCACGGGCTTGAGGCGGCTGCGCTTAGGGTTTAGGGTTTAGGGTTTGGGGTTTAGGGTTTAGGGTTTAGGTTAGTTAGTTTCCGCCATCAATTTGCTGCGGCAAAGCCCTTGAAGTAGATTCGAAGGCTGGCTATCTCAGGGTCTAGCTCTCAAGGCCTAGGTCTTACTTAGGGTTTAGGGTTTAGGGTTTAGGGTTTAGGGTTTAGGGTTTGGGGCGGGCGTGAAACGTGTCGATGGGTGCACTATTCTGCCTCTTTTTGAAGCTGCTGATATTTACTTTTCGAATTTAATATTTTTTTTACTTTTTATTTTCTTTTTCTTTTTTATTAGTTCTGTTTTTGCCTGCGTCGGCGTTTTGGTCGTCGCCGCAGCGCAGCCAAGCGGAGCCCAGTGACCAAGCCACTTGATTGGCCAAATTAATGACTAATTCTTTTGTTTCTCTTCATTTAATTAATTATTTATTTATTATTTATTTATTATTTATTTATTTATTTGCTGATAGAGGCAACACAAAGAGAGCGAGCAGCAAACCGAGGCAAGTAGCAGCGCAGCAAAGCAGACACGAACCGCAGCAGCAGCCGAAACAGGAGAAGAGATGGCAGAGGGAAACGAAATAAATAGCAAATAAATAAATAAATAAATAAATAAATAAATAAATAAATAAATAAATAAATAAATAGAGGCGAGACGAAGACCAGCAAGTGCAGCAGAAGGCACAAAGATCTGACTTAGTATTAAACGAAGACAAACGCCGCAGAGGCATTCATAGTGTCAGCAGCAGCAGCAGCAGCAGCTGCTGCTGCTGCTGCTGCAGCAAAGAGCCGTTTGACCCCAAGAAAAGTAGATATGGAGAATCCAGCAGCAGCAGCAGCTGCTGCTGCTGCGACCCACTCTCGCAGCAGCAGGCTGCAGCGGAGAGTCGGTGCTTCTCGCTCGCCAGGCGGCGTTGCAGCAGCAGCAGCAGCAGCAGCAGCAGATGAGTCAGCATCACCACTGCTGCAGCAGCAGCAGCAATGGAGCACACGGAGGTGTCGGGCACTGCTGCGGCGCTGGCTGCGGAGGCAGCAGCTGCTGCTGCTGCTGCGGTACCGCCGCATGCAGGTTTGGCTGCTGCTGCGGCGGCAGCAGGTGTGGCTCTGGCTGCAGCAGCAGCAGCGCGAAGTACCGGAGCTGCGGGTGCTGCTGCTGCTGTCGCTTTATGTTGCAGCAGTGCTGCTGCTTGCTGCTTTATACTTGCTGCTGCTGGACCCCTCTTTTCGGCGCCCCAGCGTGAAGCAGCAGCAGCGGCTGCTGCTGCAGCAGCTGCAGCAGGCATATGCAGCAAAAGAGAAGTGGATTGCCCCCTTGTGGGGCCAGAGCAGTGCTCCTAGGCGGCAGTTTACGGAGTTTCTTGCTGCTGCTGCTGCTGCTGCAGCAGCAGCAGCAAATTCTAACAAACACTGCGACACAAACTGCACCAAAAGACTCTTTTTGCTGCAGCTAGCTGCGCTGGGGGCCCCAGCGCGGTTTGCTGCAGCAGAGCGGAAGCAGCAGCAGCTGCAGCTCAAGACTTTCCTCAAGCAGCAAGCAAGCTTCGTCTACAGCAGGGTCCCAGCAAGCAGCAGCAGCAGCAGCAGCAGCAGCAGCAGCAGCAGCAGCAGCAGCAAGGAGCTCGAGGACGCCTTGAAGTCGGCCATTGACAAAGAGATTGAACTCCGCGAAAAGTTTGCTGCTGCTGTTAGGGAGCAGCGGCAGCAGCAGGAGCAGCAGCAGCGGCAGCAGGGCCTGCTGCCTGCTGCAAAAGCCCGCCAGGGGCTGCGCCCGCCGCAGCAGCAGCAGCAGCGGCAGCAGCAGCAGCAAGTGTACGGACACCCCTGCATTGCTAATGCTGAGCACATGATGCAACTCGGGATAGCTGATGCAGCAGCAGCAGCTGCAACAGCTGCTGCAGCAAAGGGGCTGTGGGCAGCAAAGCGGCAGCTGCAGCTCGCGGAGCAGCAGCAGCAGCAGCACGAGCAGCAGCAGCAGCAGCTGCAGCTGACGCTGCAGCACGTTAAGCACCAGCTGCTGCTTCTTCGGCGCCGCAAGAGAGGGCACACTCCGCAGTACGCAGAGCTGCAGCAGCAGCAGCAGCAACTGGAAGAGCAGCTGCAGCAGCTGCAGCAGCAGCAAGAAGCAACACAGAAGCAGCTCGAGAGGGCCAACAAGGAGTTTGCTGAACGCCGCAGGCAGCAGCAGCAGCAGCAGCAGCAGCACTTGAAATTTGCTGCTGAAGAAAAGGCCTGGGCAACAGACTGCGTGCGCTGGCTGCCCTACAGCAGCTCGTGGCTGCTTTTGCTGCTGCAGCTCTAAGCTGCTGCTGCTGCAGCCTAGGTAAGCCTCAGCTGCTGCTTTGCTGCTGCAGCACTTGCTGCCGCAGCAACAATCTTGCGAAGCTGCTGCAGAGCGCTCCATACCTGCGATGCCTACAAACAACTGCAGCAGCAGCAGCAGCAGCAGCAGCAGCAGCAGCAGCAGCGCGGCCTAAACTAAGACGCTGCTGCTGTGAGTTGCATGCAGCTGGGGTGTACGTACACCTGAAAAACAGTGCAATGTTTTTTCTTTCTAAGTCAGTCGCCTTAAGCTACAGAGTTGCATGCGCTGCTGTGTAGATAGCTAGCTGCCTGGAAGGACTGCTGCTGCTGCTGCTGCTGCTGCTGCTGCTGCCACTTCCGCAGCCGCGGCTGCTGCGATTGCTGCAGCAGCGGCTGCTACTGCTGGAGCAAAACGACTCAGCCGCTGCGGCATCAGCAGCGCTTGGCTGCTGCTGAAGGCAGCAGGCACTGCAGCAGAAGCAGAAACGCCAGGAGCAGCAAAGCTAACTGCGTTGACTTTGCTGCAGCAGCAGCAGACAGCAGCTGAAGCGAAAGCAGCAGCAGCGCGGCTGCTGCTGCCTCAGTAGCAAAGATGGTGAGGCTGCTGACTGCTGCAGGCACTGGCTTTCACGGGCAGGGGGGGCTACTGCAGCAGGTTCTCAGCAGCAGCTGCTGCTGCAGCAGCTGCTGCTGCAGCAGCTGCTGCTGCAGCAGCAGCTACAGCACCAGCGGCAGCAGCAGCGGAAGCGGGAACAGCTGCAGTGAAGCTGTGCACGTACTTGCACCCAGCCTTGTGCCGCAGAAGTCCTCTTCTAGAAGATCTGTAGCAAACCGGCAGCAGCAGCAACAACAGCAGCAGGAGCAGCTGCAGCAGCCGCAGCAGCAACAACAGCAGCAGGAGCAGCTGCAGCAGCCGCAGCAGCAGCACCAGCAACAAAGGCGCTGTGTTGCAATACAGTGTTTTGGGTGCAGCAGCAGCAACGGCGACAGCAAATCCGAAGAGGACAAGTTAGATGTCTTCTTCCTGATCTCTAATTGTTCTAAGAAGGCAGCTCATTTGAAGTAACAGCAGCACAGCTGAAGCTGCTGCTGCTGCTGCTGCTGCCGCTGCTGTTGTCGGCAGCGCCTCCGCCCTCCACGCAGCAGCAGCAGCAGCAGCAGCCGCAGCAGCCTCAGCCGCCGTTTCGATATTAGTCCTATCAGCAACAATTGTTTCGTGTCACTGGTGCCTTTAAACGCAGACGACTGCCACCGCTGCTGCACTTCGCAGCAGCTGCAGCAGCAGCAGCAGCAGGAGCAGCTACAGGAGCAGCAGCAACAGCAGTTGCTGCGACTCACACTGCAACTCTCCCCATATCCAGCAACAGCAGCAGCAGCTGCAGCAGCAAAAGCGAAATAGCAACAGGCAAATACAATACGCCGCATTCTTAAGGGGAACTCGTTTGTCTTGCTGCTGGAGTGCAGCAGCAGCTGCAGCAGCGCATGCCACAGCAGCAGCAGCAGCAGCAGCAGCAACGACACCTAAACGATTGACTACTTTTTACACATTAACGGCAACGCATTCGCCTTGGTGTACCGCTGCAGCAGACGTCTCACGGGGCACGCATAGTCCAGCCTGCTGCTGCTGCTGCTGCTGCTGTTGCTGCTGCTGCTGCTGCTGCTGCAGCTTCTGCCGAGCCCCTAAGCCGGAAGGGCAGCTCTCGTGGGGCCTCCTCACCGTCTTTGCAGCAATGCAGCAGCAGCAGCCTGCCATTGCAGCAACGACATCTGCACGGAGAGCAGCAGCAGAGCAGCAGCCACTGCAGCAGCAGCAGCAGCAGCAGCGGCAGCTGCTGCTGCTGCAATTTGTCAGCCCGGCCGCCGCGGTGAAAGTCGCAGCGTCCTCAAGGTCCAAAGCGACCCTCATTTAGAGAGCAGCAGCAGCAGCAGCAACAGCAGCACCGGCAGCAGCAGCAGCAACACCGGCAGTCAAACCAAACAGTGACCTTGGGCACCTTCAACAGCACAAAGCAGCAAGAGCAGACCAGCAGCAGCAGCAAACGAGCAGCAGCAGAACAGCAGCAGCAGCTTCGCCGGCAGCAGCCAAGGGAGTAACAGGTGAAGCAGCAAAGGCAGCAGCAGCAACGGAATAGATTAAGTGCTGCAGCTCCGAACCAGCAACGCTTCTTACTCCAGTCCACCAGCAGCAGCAGCAGCAGCAGCAGCAACAGCAGCAGCAGCAGCAGCAAGCGCTCCTACAAGCGCCGCCGCAGCAGCAGCGCTGAGTGTTGTGGTGGCGGCAGTTTCCTTTGCACTTGCAGCAGTGCGGAAGCAGCAGTGCGAGTTGCAGCAGCAGCAGCAGCAACAGCAGCAGCACCTGCTGCTGCTGCTGCAGCAGAAGCAGCTGCAGATGTTTTCCCTGGCAGCACTTTTCGGAGATGGGCGGTACAGCCACAGCGGGTGCTTGGTGGGGCAGTGCCTGAGCAGCAGCAGCAGCAGCGACAGCAGCAGCAGCAGCAGCAGCAGCAGCAGCAGCGACGCGGGCAGCAGCAGCCCCCCCGGCGCGGGGCTCGCCGAGAAGAGCGGCAGCAGCAGCAGCGACGGCAGCAGCAGCAGCAGCAGCAGCAGCAGCAGCAGCAGCAACAAGATCCGCAGCAGGAACAGCAACAGCAGCAGCTTGCTGCTGCGGGCTCTCTGCCAAAGCCCCCGGCTTTGCCAACTCTTGGCAGCTTTGCTGGGGCCAGCTGAGCTCAGCAGCAGTTTGCTGCAGCTGTCGTTTGGGGTGTACATGCACCTCATGCTGCGGCAGCAGCAGCTGGACCTCGGCCCCGCAGACTTGCTGCAGCTGCAGCACGCGCCCCTGGAGCATTTGCTGCTGCACCGCGTGCTGCTGCAGCAGCGCGCCTGGCGCCACACCACCACTCTCTTCTTCCGCAACATGCTGCAGCAGCAGCTCCTGCAGCAGCAGCACCCGCAGCAGCAGCAGCTGCTGCTGCTGCAGCAGCAGCACCCGCAGCAGCAGCACCCGCAGCAGCAGCACCCGCAGCAGCAGCACCCGCAGCAGCAGCACCCCCAGCAGCAGCAGCAGCACCCGCAGCAGCAGCAGCAGCAGCAGCAGCACCCGCAGCAGCAGCACCCGCAGCAGCAGCAGCAGCAGCAGCAGCAGCAGCAGCGGTGCAGGGCGTGCGGGGGCCTGCTGCGGTACGGGGGCCCGTGCTGCTTGCCGGCGGTGATGAAAGAGCCGGTGAGCAGCTTGTTGTGTTTTGCTGCTGCAGGTGTACAGACAGTGCGGCTGCGGCTGCTGCGCGTGGGCGAGTGGCAGCAGCTGCTGCAGCACCCCACACTGCTGCTGCAGCTGCTGTGGACAGCGCAGGCTGTGGAGCTGTTTGGCTGCGAAGTAAATGCCCACGTTGCAGCAGCTCTTGGCAGTGCTGCTGCTGCTGCTGCTGAGGCCCACAGCCTCATTTTCGGCGAGCACTACTGCCGCATGAGCATGCAGCTGCTGCTGCAGCAGCAGCAGCGCCAGATCTGCCTCCTGCAGCAGCAGTGCGACGGACAGCGCCAGCAGCAGCAGCAGCCGCAGCAGCAGCAGCAGCAGCAGCACGGCCGCAGCCCTCAACACGCGCAGCAGCTGCAGCCGCCGCAGCAGCAACAGTCTTCGTCCGAGCTGCAGCAGTCGCCGCTGGAAGCGCAGGAACCGCAGCAGCAGCAGCAGCAGCAGCAGCAGCAGCGAGGCCTGACGCAGCAGCAGCAGCACGCTCCGCAAGAAGCGAGAGAGAGGGCCAAGCTCGAGGCCGATGTGCAGCAACCGCTGCAGCAGCCGCTGCCGCAGGAAGAGCAGCAGCAGCAGGAGCAACAGCAACAGCAGGAGCAGCAGCAGCAGCAGCAGCAAGAGCAGCAGCGGGAGCAGCAGCAGGAAACCTATCTGCAGGTTCCGCCGCTCTCCAAGGGCATGCACTTGCTGCCCATTACGGACTTTGCGTTTTGCTGCTGCAGCGAAGAGGCCATCAGGGCCATCGTGCGGGACGACGCAGACAGCAGCAGCAGCAGCAGCAGCAGCAGCAGCAGCAGCAGCAGCAGCAGCAGCAGCAGCAGCGGGAGGCCCAAGGGCAGCAGGCGCGGCGTGTTGGCAAAGGGCTGGTTCGAAAAAGGCTTGCTGCAGCAGCTGTGTCTCCGCAGCTGCGCCATTTCTGTCCAGGGCCTCTTCAAGGTGACCACTGGTCTGCTGCTGCCGCTGCGGGCGCAGCTGAAGCAGCTGCTGCTGCAGCACTGCAGGCTGGACTGCTGCGACGCTTTGCTGCTGGCCCGCTGCCTCCATCAGATGGAAGTGCTGGAGGTAGCCTTGCTGCTGCTGCTGCTGCTTCTGTTGCTGCTGCTGCTGCTGCTGCTTCTGTTGCTGCTGCTGCTTCTGTTGCTGCTGCTGCTTTGGTTGCTGCTGCTGCTGCTCATTGTGCAGTTGCTGCTGCTGCTCCTGCTGCCCGCTGTTGCTGCTGCTGGATGCAACAGGGGCGCAGGCGAAGGGAGGCAGGGGCAGTTGCATTTGCTGCAGCTTTTGCTTTTGCTGCAGCCGCACGTTCACGTTGGCTTCTGCTGCTCCTAATGCTGCTGCTGCTGCTGCTGCTGCTGCTGCTGCTGCTGCTGCAGGTGCTGGACTTGAGACACAACGAAATAAAAGACATCGGCGCTACTGTGCTGCTGGCTGCGCTGCACCGCGGCAGCAGGCCGGCGAACGCGCAGCGGCTAGCGCAGCACCGCCAGGAGCGGCAGCAGCAGCAGCAGCAGCAGCAGCAGCAGCAGCGGGAGAGGCAGCAGGAGCAGCAGGAGCAGCAGCACAGGGAGCGGCAGCGGCTCAAGAGGGACAGCAACGGGGACGACGCTGCCGGCGACCCGCAGCAGCAGCAGCAGCAGGAGCAGCAGCGGGAGCAGCAGCAGCAGCAGCAGGAAGAGGAGGAGGAGGAGGAGATGCAGCGCACTGAGGTGTACAGACACCTCAGAAAGCTAGACTTAGGGGGCAATGACCTCTGCGGCACTGATTTGCTGCTGCCGATTCTTTCTGCTTTCATTGCTGATGCAGCAGCAGCAGCAAACCGCCTCAGCTGCATCAGTTTGCAGTCAAACGACCTCGGCCCTGCTGCACTTGCTGCTGCTGCTGCTGCTGCTGCAGTCTACACCAACCAGCGCAGCCGCATTCTCCAAGCGCAAGTTGCAGCACGGGAAGCTGCTGCAGCAAGGGAAGCCGCTGCGAGAGCAAGAGCAGCAGCAGCAGCAGCAGCAGCGGAAGAGTCCTCTGCATCACCTGTAGCTGCAGCAGCACCAGAAGAAGCGCTGCGCCCCTCAGCAGCAGCGGCAGCAGCCTCTGCTGCTGCTTCTGATGCTGAGGTTTGCTGCCGCAGGCAGCAAGTCCAGCAGCAGCGACCCTTTGGAAGCGACTCCCTAATATCTTGCTTCGGCAGCAGCAGCAGCAGCAGCAGCAGCAGCAGCAGCAGCAGCAGCGAGTACCGCCCTGTTTGCTGCAGTTTGTTAGTGGACATGCGAGACAACCCTCGCTGCAACGGCCGCAGCAGCGGCAGCAGCAGCATAGTCGGCTCTGCAGCAGCAAGTGGGAGCAGCTCATTTTATGGGTCGGCCAGCAGCAGCAGCAGCAGCAGCAGCAGCGGCAGCAGCTCCTCCCCCGATGCTGCTGTGGGCCAGTTCACCCCGGGCGCCTCGCCCGGAGCAGCAGCAGAACGAGACTCGCCTAGCTTGCTCAAAAGTGGCAGCACAAGCCCCACAAGCACTGGCAGCAACCGCAGCGGCGGCTGCTGCCGCTGCTGCTGCATAGTGCTGCACGACGACTCTCCAGAGGCAGCAGCAGCAGCAGCAGGTGCTGCTGCTGCTGCAGTGCCACAAGCTGAGCGTCGCAAGAGGAGCAGAGGGAAGCCAGACGACACCAAGCGTAAGCTGCTGCTGCTGCTGCTGCTGTCGTTACTGCTTCTGCTGCTGCTGTCCACGTCCTTTTCCTGCACTGTTGTTTTTATGTTGCAGGCACTGTGCTGCTGCTGGTGTTGCTGCCGCTGCTGCTGCTGTTGCTGCTGCTGCTACTGGTCTCCTTTTGTTGCTGCTGAATTGCTTTTGTGCTGCAGGTCGCGGCACTAAGATATACTGTGCTGCTGCTGCTGCTGCTGTGGGTTGGCCAAAGCAGCGAAAGCAGCAGCAAAGGGAAGAAGACTGCACAAACTGTGGCGGCTGTTGCTGCTGCTGCGACTGCACCCGAGCGCCCGCAGCATCCTCAGCTGCTGCTGCTGCTGCTGCTGCTGCGCAGCAAGCCGTGTCGGGTCCCCCGTCGTTGGCCAGCGCAGCAGCTGCTGCAGCAGACACAGCAGCAGCTGAGGCGGCGGCAGTTGCGGCCGCCGCAGCAGCAGCAGCTCGCGAGAAAACTCCGGAGCAGCTCGCGCTTGCTGCAGCGGAAGCAGCAGCAGCAGCAGCAGCAAAGGGGCTCGCTGCTGCTACTCTCGAGAAACTCGGCAGTGTACGTACAGCTGAAATCATTGGAGATGAAGAAAGACTTACAGGAGATGTCCGAATGTTTATGGCGAGAAGCCGCCAGGTGTATAGGGAGGTGCTGCAGCACCAGCAGCTGCAGCTGCTGCGGCACAGCAAGATGCAGCTGCAGCAGCAGCAGCAGCTGCAGCAGCAGGCCGCCCGCAGCAGGAGCATCAGCGACGCAGAGACGGAAGACGACTCGGACTACGAGCTCTCCGACGTCGCTGTCAACCTCAGCAGCAGCAACAGCAGCAGCAGCAGCAGCAGCAACAGCAGCAGCAACGGCAGCAGCTCCCCCACGGCGTCTGTTCACCCGGCGGAGGGGCTCGAGAGTCCTGCCTTTCCTGCTGCCTACTGCAGCAGCACCACCCCACTTGCTGCCGACGCTGCTGAGCGGAGCAGCAGCAGCAGCAGCAGCAGCAGCAGCAGCAGCAGCAGCAGCAGGTACCCCGCGCGCAGGCACCCCGTCAGCCCCTGCAGCGTCCCCGAAAACAGCAGCAGCAGCAGCAGCAGCAGCGACACAGATGTCAGCAGCGAAGTGGAAGAAAACGAAATGGCAGAATTGCTAGACGACGCCCTTGCGGGCAGCCCGCTTTAGCAGCAGCAGCAGCAGCAGCAGCAGCAGCAGCAGTTGCTGCTGCTGCTGCTGCAGCACCGCGCTGTTGTCGCTGCAGCTAGGCATCCCAACTCGTGTGACTGTACCCAGCAGCAGATTTGTGAGCTGCTGCAGCCTCTGGCTCTGCAGCTCCTGCTGCAGGACTGCATGGCTGCTGCTGTTGCTGCTGCTGTTGCTGCTGCTGTTGCTGCTGCTGCAGCAATGGGCGCATTGGCAGTGCAGCCCCTGGATTTTTTGAGCAGCAGCAGCACGCTGCTGCATTTATGAGCTGCAGCGGCCCTGTGTAGCTGCTGCTGCAGCAGCCAAGGGGCAGCTGCAGCGCTTGCTGCCGTAGCAGCAGCAGCAGCACTTGCTGCAGCAGTAGGATCTGCAGCAGTATCTGCTGCTGCCCCGCGCAACCCACGGCGCGAATTCAAAGGGAGACTCAGAAATGTCAGTTAAACGTTTGAGCAGCAGCAGCAGCAGCAGCAGCAGCAGCAGCAGCAGCAGCTCGCGCCGCTGCTGCTCTTGCCAAGCCCGAAGGGCCTCTCTTTAATTAGGTTACATGGAATGTGCGCCGCTAGTGATGCGGCCAAATCAGGCTCTGCTGCTGCTGCTGCTGTTGCTGCTGCAGCAGCAAAACAGTTGGCGTTGCAGCCAACGCAGCAGCAGCAATCGCAGCAGCAAACGCAGCAGCAAGCACACTTGGTGCTGCGCTGCTTCCCACTTCGAACCAGCTGCTGGTTCTGGAGAGACACCAGAGCAGCTGCAGCATTGGCAGCACCATCAGCTGCTGCTGCTGCTGCTGCTGCTGCTTCTGCTGCTGGCCAGCAGCACGGCTTTGCTGCCGTGCACCCTCAGCCTGTACACGCAAGTGTACTTGCTGTTGCC